CTTCAGACCGTTTGGCTCGATGCTTTGCTCATCGCATCAGAATGAAATAAAGAAATGAACAAAAAACTGACATCCATTAGTCGTGTTGAGTCTGTTTATTTGCCGGACTTTGCCAGCTGAATCGTAAATCTGCGAAAAACCAACGCAATAGCAAAGACGGCCAAAATGACAACAGTGATGCTGAAATACGGACGTGATTGAGGGACGCATACAACTAAAGAGGTAACTCTCATTTGCCTCCTCTTCGTTTCGACGGCGAGAGGAACTAATCAACAGCACAGAGAGACACGCAACCATTACGTACCTGTTGCTTGTAGAAATTCTGCGCGTTCTCTTCGAAGGTTTCGTCGATGGTGCGGTCCGCTTTTCCGAAACTTTCGAGCAGCTAGGAAACGAACGCCAGTAGAAAAAATGAACGACCGGGGGGAGGTTCAATTATTTTTTTGTTCTAAGCTTTTACCTTTTCCTTCGCTCGGAACGTCTTTTTGCGAAGGTTCTTGGAGAATGTGTCTGCCATGTCGTCGTCGGCGGCAGCGGCGGCGCGGTTCTCTCTGAAAGACGTATTCCTCAGATAGGCGAACGATGTTCAACGGCGACGGCCAAGCAACGCACCAATAAACGCAAAACAAACAACACAAAAGAAGACATTAGAGAAATGCGAACGAATCACATTTCGAGCGGGACGGGTGAGGAGGGAAAAACGCTTCCGAGGCTGAAGCTGGACTACGAGACTGGACGGGCGCAATACGAATGCCGAGAGTAGCCGTGACGAAAATCACTCAATCGGAGCTTGTTTACTCTGCGTCGCTTCGCGGGCAATATTCGACTGAGCTACTGTCCGCGACAGCGGTGAAGAACGCGACAACGATGAGGAACACCGAAATGAGGGACGGAAGTAACGATAACGACGACCGCAGAGATATGTCCGCCACGCACCACGTAAAACGAGTTTCGCTCGTATGAGGCGCGTGAAGGTGCAACAACGAAATAACGATCGCCACTTCTTCCAAACCGGTCAAAGACAACAGCTTCAAAAATTTCTTGTGACGCTGCCCACCTTGGTTGCCAGGCTGGGGCGTATTTTTCGCACAGCAAACAAGCAAGTATCGAACATAAGCAATCACACGTTTTGCCTCCTTTTCGACGTACTGGTCGTACAATAATTTTCGGAATGACACCGTTTTCCACTAAATAGGTTAATCAGGATCATTTTATGATTTTTGTCATTACAGACCTCATTAATATGACTCTCGAAATGTAAATAGATCCCATCACGCCCACGCGTTGAAACGATGATCACTTTTGCAAAATCACCAGTTCTGCAGCCATGAATCATATTTTCAGAGGATATCGGAAGATGTGTATGCCATGCTGCCCGCCTGAGACGGGGCTGTTACTAAAAGAACACGAAAAGACGCCGACACGAGCATTGCAACTAGGCCTTTACCGTCTTTGGAAGCCAGATGACGCAGCGATGGCTGCAAACCATTGAAAATCTAAACCGCAGTCGTAAGACATTGGGTTCTACTACGCCGTTTGGGAACATTGCTTTCCAAAATCGATCGCCAACGCGGTGGCTGAAAAACCCTTACAAAACGCTAAATGCTAGGCAGGAGAGAAGATTATGCAAGAGACTCGTCTATAACTCAACAAGATCATCGCTCTACTACCACTGACCTCGAAGATCTCCATTCCGTGCACAGGGGCGATAATGATGCCAGTCTCGTCAAAACTAAATGTGGAAAAGTGGCGGAGCTTAACGGAATTTTCTTCGATTTTTTATCATATTTGGTACATAACGGTCGAAGATAGCATCGCACTTAGCTCAGAAATCTCCCGCATCTGGGGCCTACCAGCCCTCAAGAAGATAGTAAAGTAATTACTGGATTGAAATCCGAGACGCTACCTAATAAGGCTTCAAGCTACAGATCAATCTCGCTTTACGAGTTGCTGCAGTGGATGTGTTGGCATATCTTATGCCTATCACAAAGCCACTGCCACATGAGCAGGCAGGATTCAAAAACGTAAGTAGCTGCGCTGACGAAGTAATCGCATTAACATCGCTCGTCGAATTCGGTTTTTAAAGAAGGCAAAATATTGGAGTCGTTCTTACGCACCTCAGTTACACTTTCGACACTCCTTTAAGAGAAGGACTGTTACTGGAATCTGCAAAGCTACACAGTTAAAAAACAACAGAAGATTCCATGTGTGCTTAGATGATCAAGAAACTTTACCTGCACATTAACGTGATAAATTGCCGCAAAGCTCCCTATGGTTGAAAGTTTATACAAAAGACATGCAGCCACCATTAGCCAGAAGGTCTGGCTACAAGGACGACATAGAACTTGCGTTCTATGGCAAAATTCTCCACAGGTCAGCTGAATTCCAACCGCTGACCTAATTATTATGAACGGCGAGCACCCCCTCCCGTTTCAGCCCGTCGAAAATAGCTGTCACTACCTTTTATCTCAGCAACAATCTGACAAAAACTATTCACAAAGTATCTTTCTATTGCAATCGAGTGGAAAACGAGAACAACGGAAAAAAATACTTTGCAATAACCTTGGGCCGCAACCTCCCTCTTTGAGAACACCTCCGAAAAACCTTTGCTAAGATTAATGTTCGGAATGACATCATGCTGAAACTCGTGGATCATGCTGGGGATGTAATGCCACACTCTGCGAATAGCAGGCTTCGCTACTGTATGGAATAATGTGCAGCCTCGTGGTTCCAAATCATCCATACGCCGAACCTCGATGGTATCCTCAACAGCACTATGGGGGTCATAACAGCAAACCTGCATAACACCCAACACTTTGGTTACCGGTAATCTCAAGCATACCTCCATCCGACATAAGTAGACTTCAAAGCTACGTAAAAGATTGCCGCAGATTCTAAAATAAACTACATTTATCTGTTCACCAAGACCTCAGGAACTATCTTACGACAAGATTCAAATTGTGGAAATCATTCTGACAAACCAACTACGACTTGGTGGCAAAATCTTTGAACGTCAGTGATGATTAGAGAAAAATATGGCAGAATTCCAGCATGCAAAACAAGCACTTGATCGACGATCTGACAAGAATTTCACCCGGCTTTTACGTACTCCGTAAGCACTGGGTAACCCTTAACAGAAGCCGGACGACACACACCAGGACTGGGCATCACATGCACAAATGACGCTACGAAGAAAGCTTGGCATGTGACTGCGGCTACTTAGACAGCAGTCGACTACAACATTAACCATTGCTTATCAAGAAAATTTGAAAAACGAATTGGTGCATCACATGCTGTAGTAACCGGTTATATTGTCTGGATATTCAAAGTAGATATCGACTCATTGCCATTGATGCCATAAGTGAGAAAGAATGAATACGACCATTGTATCCTGTTTCCTTAACAATCTTTATTGCACCCTTTAATAGGCTCAGAATTAGCGAATTATCATAATAGCATTCCATCAAACAGTTTACTTGAAGACTTTTGAAATGTTTTATAAGAGTATTTTTATTACTGGTCATTATTTTATATTGGTTAAATTCTATTCACCTTTTCAGGAAGACGGAGAATCAACGTCTTTAAATCAACGTTTTGTCTTAAATGGAAATTAGTTTTACCACTCACGCCGAATCGTGAAAAATTTTTTTTACAAAGAAATTTAAGTCTTTTGAATTTTTAACACTTAGATGTAGCTAACAAGACATCAAACTGTGGCATGTTTAAGAGGTTTGCGTCGAACTCCGGTCCCGATTACACTTGAAAGCAATCTTTGTCACATTCATGAATTTTATTAAGAGGGGAACTGACCACTCATTTCTTCAGACCGGAGTTTCTCATCAGTAGGGCGTTGAACTAAGGACCAATATGTCCAGAGTTTAAGTCGCGTTCTGGATCAATCCCCTTCTTCCTTCAGAGGTTGATAGATGAATAACATTTTGTGGGAAGGAAACAAGAGTGTTATTTATTGTACTACCCTTGAGTCAAGGCACTCGAATATTTTATCTATCGAGCAGAATCACATGCAGTAACAGTTGGAACCCTTTTGGCATTGTTACCATTAGAGCAAGGGAGAACTGCCGGCAGAATTGAATTGTCAGGATTTCCAGTTCAACGTATGACCCAAGACGATATCTGATTGAAAGTTTATAAAATAAGAGCAGTAATATATTTCTAACATGACCTCGGTTTTTATTTCCTTAGTTTCCGTATCATATCAACATTAGTCATGTGGCATGTTATTTGTTGGATATGATCTTGATGATCAATCATTTTACTGTGGTATGTAAAAGTGCGTTCGAAACAGGACAGATTTTACTATCTTCCAGTTCTGAACCCTGAGCTTCGATATTTTATGGTGTCTCAAGGCTAGCATTATTCTACTCTTATAATTATATTGATTGGATTGGAATGCATTCTTTATTTAGACATTTCTTGAAATGATCGATTAAACCAGTGACTGAAAATTTTGATCATAAAACGTCAGCTCTGTAGAGAAAATCTATTTTGCGTTTCGGGGTAAATCACTCCTACGATTGAATATGTCGTTTTTATTATTGTTTGTAAAAGATGTGAATCACTGCAAATTATTCATCAGATGATGAATTGTCAGGTGTAACAACGTAGTGACAGCGCCAAATCTTGTTTGCACTGTTTTAAGCCATTATGCTAGCGTACAGGAGATAAATGTAGTAATAGCGGGAAACCGGGTTAATCCTGCATCTCAGGGTGACAAAAGGGTGCATACAGTACAAGGATGCATACAGTAAAAGCAAAGATGCGTATTTGCCCCCAGTTGGAATGCTGATGTTTATTAAAACGGGCTTAGTGTTTTCAGTTCAAAAGCGCGACGAATAGAGTTGTCAGGGGGTACAGTGACAATTGTATATTGTAAGAGAGAGCGCACAAAAATAAGTATTTCACAAAGTTAGGTGCTGTTGTGCTCATCATGCAGTTGAGTTATTCTTGTACGTTTCTTCCTGTCTTTCATTTTGTTGCTTGTTTTATGCGCTATTACGGATGCGTTTGTTTTCCTTTCCTCTAATTTCTGTGTCTTAGAGTTGATGATTCGTTGAACTGACACTGCAAAACGCAAAGAATAGGTGCCACAGTGAAGCAGGTGCAAAATAGCAACGAAGATTGCCAATGGCACGGAGGGATGCAGAAAATAGTAAGCAAAATCAAATAGCGGCTTTTAACAGCTTCTGGATTTCGAAGATTACGAGTGGACGACGGAATGATCGTTTTCCAGAAAAGTTCCATCCTTGTTGATATTTCAAGACAAGTACGAGGAAAGACGATAATTTAATGCATGCGCAGCATTCCTAAACAAGTTGTTTTCAAATGTCACGGAGTATGAAAGTACTGATTATTTTAACCGGAGATCGCTGATTTTTATACCAAAAATGGCAGCAACGCCATACGAATACAACTATTAACATGTACGGGGGAACAAATCTGGTGACTTATACAGAAAAATAAAACCTGAAAATCTAATGGGTTTACTAGCATACTACTAGTTATTGATACAGCCGCAAAGACAAACTTTTTCAGTTTTTAATACTGGATTGAAGCGCCGCAAGCACCGCCTTATTGCTTCTACACTACGTTCAAACTGGTGATTGTCACTTTTGGTGCATTAAGCTACGCAACTTCTTAACGTGACAAAGAGCGACCAGTAGATATCTGATGTGCTTCACAGGCTGTTAACTCACTGCAGATGTCAAGAGAACGACTGTAAAGGTTTAACGGTCTCTAGGTTTTGCTGTTTCGCATAATCTGTTTTAATTCGTATGCTTTGCTTGTGTTAAGTCTTACTTCGCCGGGGAAAAGAAAATTGTCAACGGATTGCTTTCTTGATACGTTGTTAAGAAACCGAAAATTTTACTGATAGTTGACACGTTTAGTTACCAGTACTGCTAGTATAATCAGCATTGTTGACAAAGATAACGACGCGAGTCGACTGCCAATAACCTTACCTTCTTTGTTTTATGTTTGGGTTTCGTAACCATACAATAAAGAAAAATATGCGTTAATGATTAAATGAGTTTCCAGTATCAGAAACTTTTATAATGAACTTCTACACAGTGAAAGCGGCATTCTCACAACCAGGATACTTTCGTTTAGATGATGTATTATAGGTTCTAATATGTTAATCGAGAACCTCGTTTAAATTCATGGTCGATATTATTAAACAGACGATGGAAACCTTTGAAATCAAAACATATTATTTAACGTTTCAGCTATGTACCTGGTTTCCTTTTGCATAACACTTATAGAGGCATCGAAGAATGTTCATCTTTCTAACTGTGCAAAACATCTCGTATTTGTCGCACGAGGCTGGTTTTAACTTGGGCATCATGATAAATAGACCAACGTTGATATTACTACTGTAGAAAAACTGACACCTAGAAAACTCAACATGTCGACGTTTTGCGCGATTAAAAACAGGATGAAAGACAGAATATAAAAATTTAAGAGAATATGTAATTTGAAAGAGATCTTCTATTGGTATTCTTCGCTAGTGGATGATAATTCTATCACACGCTTTGAATCAAAGTAAATATCTGGCCTCAAACAAATGCTGGGAATCTGTAGTTGTGATAACCAGAGATCCAAATCAACATGACACAAAAATTCCCGAGAAGGATCGTAGCCTGTATGCGATCATGCATCACCTGTGAGGTGATGCCTGCATTGTTAGGGTAATTCAGTATATCTCATGTTTGGTGTATGTGCGCTATATGTATTTTTTAACAGATGTGAAAACAATTACCAATCCATTTCGACCAAAGTGGAAAGCCCTTTCACTTCTGAAGACAACGCATAACTCCCCCAAGACCAAATTTTATAGCTTATTTCACCGTCCCCTTTCTCCTAGTTTCCCAGAGACTTATTTAAGCAGGCTATGGTATGCACCTGGCATCATTTTGTTCGACTCCCATATTGAGCTAATTACCTAGCGTTTCATGAGCTGGTGCTTTTCCACGCTTTCGCATAAGGATCAGAGCATATTAATACTCCATTGTCTGATAAAACGTATCTCTTCCAATACTTATGAAGCGGTAGTCAACATACTAGCATGATTCAATAAATGGCATCATCAATTCAGATTTGCATTAGGAGTAGCAGCGCTCAGACCCATCTCCGCAGGACCGTAAGCGAATTTATGACTTTAGGCACTTTTCCTGCTGTCGCAAAGGAAATACTCCTATACGATAGCGAGTCTCTCTGAAAGTAATCGTGAAGGTAACAGTAATAACGGTATATTTCTGGCGCTTAGGGTGTCATGCTCCGTTTGCACTTCATCTTCCATCGCCGCTTCTCCTTTCGGGTCGTGGAGGCAAATGCGTCAGACAGAGCTTCCAACGTTTCCGATCCTATACCAGAGTCTGATCTTCCCCAGAAGACAACTGGAGTCTGGAACAAACATCTTCCATATATTTTCACAAGGTTAATCTTGGCCGTCCCCTGGGCCTTCTGCCGGCCGGATTTGCAAGGAACAGATGCTTAGCCTTCTTTTCTGGAAGCATTCGCAACACATGCCCAAGCCATCGCAGCTATGACTTCTCAATCTGGAGAAGCCAAGGCTGTATTCCAAGGCTCTTCCGGATGTCATTATTCCGGACTATGTCGAGACGCGCAAGGCCAGGGATTCGTTTAAGAAAGCCCATCTCAGCAACCTGTACCCGGGTTCGAAGTTTTTCAGTGATGGTCCAGGACTCATGACCATAGGTAAGCATGGGAAAAAGTTCG